CCCCCCCCCCCGCCGGCCCGGCCGGTCGGGCTGGGGGGGGATCCGCACCACCCCGTCCTCGTCGCAGGGCTTCTGGCCCAGCTCGGGCAGAGGCTCGAGGAAGCTGGGACTCTCCTTCCCGATACAGCAGGCAGAATCGACCTGTGCTAAGTCTTCCCGGTTCAAAACGCCCTCCTGCTCGTCGGCGCGGTCCGGGTTCAGCTTCGGGGTGAAACGGAGGCCTCCCTCTTCATCATCCGCGTACGGTTCCTCGTTAATGGCACTTGGGTAGCTCGCTTTGAAATCCTCGGGGATGAGCGACTCAGAGGGACAGGTGCTGAGAACCTCGATGCTGTCCTCGCTGACGGTGCGCCGGCTGCCCACCTTGCTCCTGCCCGCCTGGGGACTGGGGCTGACGGGGAGGCTGGCCTGGCTCTCCGACTTCGTCAGGCCGGACGCGGGCTTCTCTGTCCCGAGAACCTCGATGCTCTCACCGCTGCTGATGCTGCCTTTAATATCCGCATCGAGGTAGTCCAGGTTCTCCTGGGGTTCGAACGGGACGGACTCGGTCATTTTAGGCTCCTGGGAGTCCTCGATTTCCTGCTCCATCTTGATGGGCACGCACTCCACGCTGGACTTGTAGGATCCCAGGCTGATCACCACTTTAGGAGCCAGGGACTCTTCCAAACACTTTCTGTCGATGGCATCTCGACCCTGGCAGCCTCTGTACCGTTTTTCAGGCGGTTTTTCATCCAGAAAAGACACATCCTCGAAGAGAAAGTTCGTTACGCTTTGCTGCTTTAAGAGCGCCCTGCTGATCTGCTCCGTCAGGAGGTAGCACGCGTCCCCTCTGAACGTCCGCTCGATCTGATGCAACTGGTCCAGGGTCTGGGTGAAAAAATAAATATCGCAGAGCTCCTCCAGCGTCTTCAGCTTCTTGTCAAAGCATTTGGCGGACTTCGCCTTGATGAGCTTGGGGGTATAGGATGGCACATAAAGGTGTGTTTCGCCGGGCTCGGCGGGGTCGGAGGCAGCCAGGTCCCGCTCGCAGCCGGCGCCGGCCGCATCCGGCACACGCTCCGGCTCGTAGGGATGGAAGTCGGACTCCTTCAGCTTCCTGTAGGGATAGGACCTGATTTGTTTCAGCAGATCCTGGTGCTCGATGATGGACTTTTCCACGCTGGCCAGCTCGTTGGCTTTCTCGATGGCTTGGGTGGTGTAATACCCCTTGTCGTTGGCTTTCTTCTGTATCTCAGTTTCGTTGTGCAGGACAGTCCTGGTGTAGTCGAGATCTTTCAGTTTCTTTTCCAGCTCGTTAGCAAAAGCTTTCCTGTTCCCTGTCTTCAGGCATTCGGAGGCTTTGGAGAACTCAGCAGAGAGTTCCTGAAACTGCTGCATGATTTTGTGCTCGTCAGCAGAAATGTAGGCCATGCAGAAAGGCCTGACGAAACCCCGGGCTTCCAGGTCGTAGAGGGTCAAGTGGTGGACGTACGCGAAGGCCCCTTCCTTTGAGTCCCCCAGCACCACTTTGGAATCCTCCACGAAGTTCAGCTTCGGGTAGGCCGAGCCGGGAGGGTGCCCCACGAAGGAAGCCTGGTAATCCACGGACATGATCCGAAGGGAGAAATAATTGAGGTCGAAAGTGCCCGACACCTTGGCGTCATCAGGGACGGTCAGGAGGGGCTGGGGCCCCACCTGCTCCGAGAACTCAGAGATGAGGATGAAGTCCCGGGTGAACTTGGAGCTGGCGACCTTGGCCCAGGGGTTGGCCCCGTGGCTGGCGAAGGGGAAG